TATCCTTATTTGATCAAGAGAAATAACTCTGGATAGAAAAGAGATAACAATAACCCTATTCCTCAGAAAACTAGTAATTTTTTGCCAGCAGGTGCTAGCTCAAAGAGAAATGATAAACCAGAAATAACAGAAGGAAACATAACATCAGAAATGCTGAAAAAGGAATGGAAAGGATAAATATATTATCAAATATAATAAGCTATTAAGTTTTTAAAATTATGTTTGCTGGTTAGAAGCAAAGATTAGAACTTCATCCGATATGGTTCTCAGTGGATGTAGAAGTGTTGGACACCATTTTCTGTTAGGAGAATCTAAGTTAAGGCCATGATCATATGCCACCACACACTTAATAGGAAGGCTAAAATATACCGACAGTGCTAAGTGCTAGAAAGGACATGGAACAAATGGAGTGCTCATACATTGATGGTGGAAATGAAAATTAGTACAGCCAGACTGGGAAACAGTTTGGCAATATTATAAAGTTAAACACAAAGTTAATACATGAACCAGTAATCGTGTTCCTGGGTGTCTTTCCCAGAGAAATGAAAATTTACGTTCACACAAACTCAGGCACACAAATGCTCATAGCATCTTTATTTATAACAGCAAAACACTGGAAAACAACCCAAATGTCCATCAACAGTGAATACATAAACAAACCATGGTACATCCATACAAAAGAATACTAACTCAGTAACAAACATTAAACTGTTTGTACACCCAAAAATCTGGATGGACATTAAAAGCAATTTGCTGAGTGAATAAAAACCTGTCTCAAAGGTTACATACCTAATGATTCCATTTAAATAGCGTTCTTCAAATGACAAAAGTAGAGTGATGGGATCAGAGATTTCCATGGGTCAGGTTGGGGGGAGGGTGTGACTATAAAGGGGCAGCAAGGGATGTTTCTGTTGTCACAACAGTTCTACATCCTGATTGTGGTGGTATTTACACAAATCTATACATAGTATAAAATTTGTTAGAACTCTACACAAAAATACACAAAACATACCAATTAGTGCATGCACAAACTAGTGAAGTCCAAATAAGGAGTGTAGTTTTATTAACAGTATTGTCCTAATGTCATTTCATTGGTTTTGATTATGTATTATGGTTATGTAAGATAACAGTGAAGAAACTGAGTGAAAGATACTTAGAAACTTATTGTGTCTTGTAATTTCTTGTGAATCTAAAATTATTTCAAAACAAATTTTAGAAAAATCATATTTAAGGTATTTTGGTAAACTTCTTAATGCTACTTACAAACTTGGACTTGGATAAACATATCCACATATACTAAATTACATTTATGAATTTAATATATTCCTTGTTAAGTACATTAGTAGACTGAAAGAAATTTAGGAGCCTAAGATATGCAAGAACCAATCATGTAATGATACAAGGTAGACACTCTAAAACTCCTGCATTGTATATGACATAAAAATTTTATCAGTGAGGAAGACAGCCCACTTTAAAATTATGGAATCATTGAGAATATGGCACAAGGTATCCTGTCCGAAATGGACATCAGGTGTATGGTGAGTTTCGATTTGTGGTAAGACTTCTTTACTTCCTGAATTCTCTGATATTTTGCTAAAGTTACTCTATCTTTAGTGTGTTCATAAGTTTTATTTCTGTATAAAGTAATGGCGGATGATGAGACAAAATGTTTCACTGAAACCAGATTCGTTGCCATCTTACATTTTTTCTCTAGTGTGAAATATTTGTCAGCCATCAAGGTTTTATTTCCAGGGCAAAGGCTTTCCCATGAGCATTATGCCACTAGTATGTATAGGCTCACTGATGAGATAAGGTCTTTCTTCTCATGGCAGGCTTTCCTAGTCTCCCCATTTATAAGACTTAATTCAGCATACACTTTTCAAGACATAGAATTAGTTAGAAATGTTTCAAGACTTTTTTGCATTGGAAGTATCAGGTTTTTTACCTACATGTTTATTTTGACATACAATTTGAGGTAACTGATCACTGAAGGCACTAGCACATTCTCTGAATTCATTGAAATTTACTCTTATGCAAATTCTGTAATCTCCCAAGCGTGAAAAATCTAGCAACAGGCTACGCTATCTTCACCTACGCCAGGAGCACAATGATGTTTAATGAGTTCACAGTACTAATGTGGTTTGCCCCCTGAATGAGTTCAATTATATGTAATCAGTTCGGATTCTCTGCAAAGGATTCTGTACTTCAATACATTTCTCTTGTGTGCATTGTCATAATTTTAACGAAGGCTAACAAATGAGAGTGAGGAAGTTACCCCCAACCACTGAATCCATAGACTCTGAGTTATTTGATATACATCGTGTGCATCAGACAATTCGGAGCTTGAATTCATGTTGAAGGCTTTCCAACATTGATTGTATTTACTCTCATGGATAATGAGACTAGATTTTGAAATAGGATTTATTACACATAAAGGAAGTCTATCCTGTATGAAATCTCTGATGTTGTACAAGACATATTTTCTTCCTGAAGGCATGACCATGTTCACTGCACTGTTATGGTTTATTTCCATCATGAGTTCGCTGATGGGCAATGAGATTTCTCTTTGAGGAGAAGCCTTTTTGACATTCACTGCATATAAAGGGTTTTTCTCCTGTATGAGTTCGCTGATGAACAATCAGACGGCTTTTCACAGTGAAGCCTTTACCACATTCATTGCACGCATAAGGTTTCTCTCCGGTATGAATTTGCTTATGTAAAATGAGCTCAGTTTCCATGAAAAAGCCTCTTCCACATTCACTGCATATATAAGATTTCTCTCTTGTATGAATTTGCTGATGTACAATGAGATATCGTTTCATGGTGAAGCCTTTTCCACATTCATTGCACATAAAGGGTTTCTCTCCGGTATGAGTTCGCTGGTGTACAACAAGATTGCTCTTAAAGGCAAAACCTTTTCCACATTCATTGCATGTATAGGGTTTCTCTCCAGTGTGAGTTCGCTGATGTAACACCAGCCCACTATTCACGATGAAACCTTTCCCACATTCACTGCATCTGTAAGGTTTTTCTCCAGTATGAGTTCGTTGATGTACAATCAGCCGACTTTTCAAGGGGAATCCTTTCCCACATTCGTTGCATAGGTAGGGTTTCTCTCCAGTATGAGTTCGCTGATGTCTGATGAGCATGCTCTTCACAGTGAAGCCTTTTCCACATTCACTGCATAGATATGATTTCTCTACTGTATGGTTTCTCTGATGTACAATGAGATTACTCTTGCTAGGAAAGCCTTTTCCACATTCATTGCATACATAGGGTTTCTCTCCTGTATGAGTTCGCCGATGTTCAATCATACGGCTCTTCATGGTGAAGCCTTTCCCACACTCAATGCATATATATGGTTTCTCTCCTGTATGATTTCGTTGATGTATGATGACATAGTGTTTAGTGGTGAAGCCTTTCCCACATTCACTACAGATGTAGGGCTTCTCTCCTGTATGAGTTCGCTGATGAATGATAAGCATGCTTTTCCCAGTGAAGCCTTTTCCACATTCGCTACATACATAGGATTTCTCTCCAGTATGGTTTCGCTGATGTACAATGAGATTACGCTTGCCTGGGAAGCCTTTTCCACATTCATTGCATACATAGGGTTTCTCTCCAGTATGAGTTCGCTGATGTTCAATCAGACGGCTCTTCATGGTAAAGACTTTTTCACATTCGTTGCATATGAAGGATTTCTCTCTTTTATGAATTCTCTGATGTTCATTGAGCCTGGACTTTCTGGAGAATACTTTTGCACACATACTGCATCCATAAGGTTTTTCTCCTGTATGAACTCTCTCATGATCAGTGAGCTGAGACCTCTT